GAGACGTGGGCAGCAGGTGATCTATTCAGGACTGTCAGGAACTGGTTCTACAGACGTACAGATTGGCAAGCATCATGAATTAGGCAAACGTAGGATCACTAATGAGGCAGTCGGCAGGGACGGAAAACATAATCACTCGGACAGCAGAGATTTTTAGAAACAACAACAAGTAAGCATTAAACAATGTAGAAACATACATATAGAGGCAGTCCAGTCGTGTGAGTTGGCCTTATAGCAAGATAACGGATCAGAAATCAGTGCGTTTGCGGTGTGACTTACTATCTTCGGTTGGCGGCATGACACGGCAGCTCATGTCACGTGTCGAGTCAGATTCCGCGGTGTCGTCCGTCCAAAATTCTCGCCAAAGGCCATCCGGCAGGTACGGTACATGCGTAATGAAATGATGAATCATTCCGGGTGTCAGATTGGTGCAGTTGATGGCAAGTTCGTCTTCCGACCCGGAACTCTGGGCTCGATATCCAGTTGGTCCGCTTTTCCGCCAGGGTGGACGCTCGAAAATAGGTACAACTGAGTTGAACTTGTAATCAACGATGGACGGGCAGCAAATATCGACATCAGTTATTGAAAAATAAGCAGACCGTTAGTAGGGACAAAACAGGGGGAAAACGAGCGGAAACGAAACAAACGGTATCATAATAAACGGGCGTAAATCACGTTATTCATGATAGTTAGAACACGAGGTAAATTACCGCTGTTCATCATTGATTCACAGAGGGAATCAAAACTGAATAATCTTAAATGGTTGAGTCAATGAGCATCTGAAGAAAACCCGAAGTGAGGACAATGAGATAGAATTTCGTGGTAGGGATATATGGCTGGTCGCCAAGCAATTATCATTCACTGAAGCTGTATATATCCACGAACATCACTGCTAGAGGAGAGTCAGTGGCAAAATTCTTTCAAGTGGTAAGATAGTTCTACCACGTAAGATCGAAACAGAACTGCGAACTCTGAATTTCTGATCAGAACGATCCGTGAGTGGAGTCAAATATGGGATGTTCGCTGAGATGGTTNTACAAACAATATATTTATATTCATCGTTGTACACGGCCCAGCTCGATCAAGTCACTGCAATCTGAAGATGGCAGGCAACATGAATGAAGGAAAGCAAGTCTGATGAGACATGCTCACTACGTGATAGGAAATTTTATTGGGAAATCCAAACGCCAGAACGACGGGGGAAGTGGAGCGTGGGACTTTCGGCACACACAACAGAACACGTGTGAAGCCTCTGAGGCGGCCGCCCAAATGTACCAAAAATGCTGAATGGTATCGTTCAATGCGTGATGTCTGGATCTTAGACGATTCGGTGCTGGAAAGGACTGGAAGTTACGGACTTAAGATAACATCAGCTTATCTGCACTGTCACTGAAAAACTATTTCGTCCACTTGCTGGTGGTGTAATTTTGTCTTGGTTGTACGATTTCTGAGTGTTTAGAATAAACGCTTCTTGGCTGCGCACGTGGGTTTGTATAACAATTTCCCTGGTACCCTCGTGCTGTCCGATTAGAGGACGTTACTGTACACCAAAAACATGGAAATACGGTACGGCGACCCATGTGCGGTGCGGCCACCCAAGTACGGTGCGACATGCCATCGTTATAGGCCCTGTCTGGGTAAAAAGGTTCCATTCCAGGTAAACTCCGGGAAAAAACCTTGCCTACATTGAGAATATCGCCCTTTTTCCCCCTACTTTCAGGAACAAATATCGTTTACATTGCTAGGTACGAATGTCACACGGGCGTTCGTTTGAAGGTCTCAGTGAAATATTTAGTTGACTATCTCCAAATAGTTTTAAAAGTGAAAATATATACTATTACCGGATATTTGATCTCAGAGGACCCGGCTGGTTTCGATGATAAAGCAGAAATTTTAGAGCACTAAGGTCGAGATGACAACCATCGCCGAAGGGTCCATCAGCGTTCCGAATATGAAACGATCTCGCGGGCGACGCAGGAGACACTGAAGACGTGAGATCTGTCTAAACTTTGGAGGCTATGATTGTTGAGCGTGGAATATGGACGCCTTGTTTTCAAGCTTAAACAATGGTAACATAGGAGAAAATGGAACATAGTGAGCTGCCCCACGCAAGGTGGGAATACACTCTACGTGTAATGCAATAGATAACGCATGACAGCGTTTCATGGTGAGAGTGAATGCCCTTATATTATTTACTGAAGCTGTATTAGTTGTGCCTCACTATGGTTATTCACGGAGAAAGACTTTCTGCCCACCGCACGTGTAATTGGTCTTGCCGGTCTCCTTTGATAGTGCAGTACTAACAAAAAAATTTGCTCACTTCATAAGAGATTACTCTTCGAGGATAGCCGTCACTCTGTTTAAAATAGATTTTTCTGCTCGGTAATAGATACGACGTAAAAATACTGGGAGTATTATGCTGTGGACTCCTTTAAAGCGAGCTTCTCGTGCGTGGTTGATGATAGGCAGCCCCTCATGCGAAGCATATTTGGATCTCGAGACTTATAGCGCAGGCGTACTCCGAAGCAAGCAATATTTTACCGTAGATGCCGTCTTCTTGTATTAGACTAGAGATCTCAGTGTGGCTGACAAACTCGCAGAACTTTTGAAATAGGTGAAAGTTACAAACCAAAATCTTCCTTTAAAAGCTATGATATTGTGCCCTCACCAAATAGTCACCGTTTTCGGTGAGAAATAGATTATTCTGATTGACCACCAAGGTCCCTGGTACACATACGTGCTGTTTTGTCCCAAAGGCAACTGGAGTTGGCCTCAACAAGACCTTTGATGCTCACCGCATTTGTATTTGTGCGCAGCACTGAAACATCAATGCATCAAAAGTAGCAGTCACTTGCGCCAGAAGTTTATTCAAAACATTGTCTGCTCTGCTAAGAACAACTATGAAGTGAAGTGTGCTAGCTAAATTAAGTAAATCCTGGGTTCCACCAGGTTGTTTCTGACTGCAAGGTCGCCTGATGATATTTGCCACTCTGAGGCTGCCGCTCGAAAATTTTTCTCTCGGAGCATTTGGTCTCATTTTAGAGCGTAATATTGCAGTTGTTTTTCCACATACCTGGGGCGTTTGAAGCCCACGCTACCACATATATGACGTTTTACAAAAAGAACTATTCAGGTAAAGCCAACTATTAAGCTTTCCGACCCAAGTTCTCCCCAAGCACAACTAGACGTATTGTCTTCTTCAGAAGTAATCATAAATATCTTTGGCCGTCCTGTAACTTTGGCTGGTAGCCGGTGCCCCAGGGTGCGCATTATTGAGTCCCCGCGTGGAAAGTTGCAATTCTTGTCTCACCATTTTGTACGTAATGTCAAGTTTATTGGAAGGCCTCTAATCCACCTAAAGGCAGACAAACGTCCATCCATTTTATTGATTACCAACCTATCAACCACAACTCTGCTACTTGGAATATTGAAGAAGCTATTGTCGCAAAATTCTGAGAGAACAATAATACCGCAACACATGCGTTGACAAACTACGAAAGAGATTATCGTATGGGATTCTTGTTAAAGTAACGGCATCTCATTTTTCGTCAGTTCTAAAAACCTCTTCTAGCTTAAATCTGGAGTGAGCTCGATTTATTGTATCTATGCGGTTATATGCTACTCCACACAATTAGTACGGATGACGCCGATACATCCTTGGGAGAACTGACACCCATTCATGGTCCGAATTCTTTTATTTTCGACAGCTCTTGCTGAATGAAATTATAAGAGTGGAATTTCCCCAATTTTAGAATGCAACCTGACATCCCACGGACAGGCGTGTACTGCCCCCTGATCCTCACACCTGTGGACATCATTAGCTGGCAGCTTAATCCGTCTGCCTTCCAGCAAATGTGACACTTGCGTGACGCCAAACAGTATAGATATCCATTCACAGTGGCCACAGTATAAACACCTTTATCTATACCCTGATAAATCTGTCAGTAGTTCTTTAAAAAGATTTTTTGTTTTACACATGGCACTGCCAGAAATATACCTTATAACTTATACTCCCTCTTAGGCCACGCTATACTTTACTACAAAACAGGACAGAAATGTGCGTTTCTGGACAAGTGAAACATGTATTCTTGTGTTGAAAGCTGAGTCCACGAAAATGGCAACTGGAATTGTCAGGATTTTGCGCCGTGGTAATTTACTCGTCACTTGTCCACACACTCCTACACAAGCTAATTGTTTTGTGCCAGCAAGTACCGAGGAATGCATATTAGAGCAAGATTCATCTAAAAAGGTACTACAGTATAATATAAAACACTCGAAAAGACACGATGGGGATCCTGCCTGTCACATGATAAGAAATTGTAAATTTCCGAAAATAAAATCGAACTTAAGAGCCTGTCGATTTAAACAAGGACCAGAGCTTGATGCCGGGACTGGGTGTAAGGTCCGGGCGGTCACGGATCTCACAGGACGACTGCGCCTATTAGATTATTCGCAGTTTGCAGCCAGTGGTCAGTAGAAGCAGAGAGACGTGGGCAGCAGGTGATCTATTGAGGACTGTCAGGAACTGGTTCTACAGACGTACAGATTAGTAAGCATCATGAATTGGGCAAACGTACGATCACTAATGACGCAATCGGCAGGAACGGAAAACATAATCGCTCGGACAGCAGAGATTTTTAGAAACAACAACAAGTAAGCATTAAACAAGGTAGAAACATACATATAGAGGCATGGTCCGAATTCTTTTATTTTCGACAGCTCTTGCTGAATGAAATTATAAGAGTGGAATTTCCCCAATTTTAGAATGCAACCTGACATCCCACGGACAGGCGTGTACTGCCCCCTGATCCTCACACCTGTGGACATCATTAGCTGGCAGCTTAATCCGTCTGCCTTCCAGCAAATGTGACACTTGCGTGACGCCAAACAGTATAGATATCCATTCACAGTGGCCACAGTATAAACACCTTTATCTATACCCTGATAAATCTGTCAGTAGTTCTTTAAAAAGATTTTCTGTTTTACACATGGCACTGCCAGAAATATACCTTATAACTTATACTCCCTCTTAGGCCAAGCTATACTTTACTACAAAACAGGACACAAATGTGCGTTTCTGGACAAGTGCAACATGTATTCTTGTGTTGAAAGCTGAGTCCACGAAAATAGCAACCGGAATTGTCAGGATTTTGCGCCGTGGTAATTTACTCGTCACTTGTCCACACACTCCTACACAAGCTAATTGTTTTGTGCCAGCAAGTACCGAGGAATGCATATTAGAGCAAGATTCATCTAAAAAGGTACTACAGTATAATATAAAACACTCGAAAAGACACGATGGGGATCCTGCCTGTCACATGATAAGAAATTGTAAATTTCCGAAAATAAAATCGAACTTAAGAGCCTGTCGATTTAAACAAGGACCAGAGCTGGATGCCGGGACTGGGTGTAAGGTCCGGGCGGTCACGTAAGATAGTTCTACCACGTAAGATCGAAAGAGAACTGCGAACTCTTTGAATATCTGATCAGAACCATCCGTGAGTGGAGTCAAATATGGGATGTTCGCC